AATTCTCGGACTGTCCCAACATACCCAGGTTTTGACCCCCGCTAAGGATCTCACTGATTGGCATATCAAAGACAGCACAATCTAACACCTAGTGCAGTACCATAATCGGGTCTAGGGGTCAGGTGTAACTTTCCAGTTTTGCCCATCAATCTCTAAGGTCCAGGGCAATACTAGAAATCTGGTCCGGTTCAAGGGTTCAAGTAATCCTACACTGTGTGTGCCTTGGGTCTCACCCTGGCGGCTGAGGCAAGCCACTCCAATAGTTGGCAGCACACCAGTGTCAGCCTTGGCAGGATAAGTCTCCCCAGACTTATCCAACAGCTGTGAACATTTAAAACTAACACAAGTCTCATTAAGTGTCCAGTTTTAGGGTCTTACACAGAAGCATACCACACAACATGAATCAAACACGTACTTTATTTATTTACATTAAATATCAAAAGTACATCAAAACTGATTGGAGTTAACGGCATACAAAACTGTCTAACAGGGTTTAAGGATATAAATGTGGTGGGAGTTTGTCGGACAGTTTTTGCTTGGATACAATCTGCTAAGGACATTCCTTGGGTTTGTAGGCCATTAGTGGGACAAGCTCAACATTGGGCAATCAATTGAACAGCTTGTTCAAGTGGCTGCATGGTCTGCTTATGTTTTGGCTGGTACTTTAACTAAAGAAGGAGCAACTACAGAAAGTCTTCAATGGTGCAAACCTGGGCTGGGATATGATCTGTAAAGTTTTCTTTTTCTGCTTTGGAATGATGGTAGCTGACAAGGATTGCCTTGGACTCTCTTCTCTCTACCTATTTATTTGGCCAGTAGGTAGCTAAATAGCTTTGTTGAATGATTACAGCTTTCTGTTATTGATTGATATACATGTCGCAAATATAATTCTGTATCAGCTCACTGGTTTTCAGATTTTGAAAAGTAGAAACGACATCGCCAAGAATTTCTCTCTCAAAAAGTGACAGTTGAATATGGAGAAGAGTGTTGCACAATCAAGAAACATGTCCAAAATATGAGTTGACAAAAAATGCATATGATGGGATAATTGAGTGGAAAAACTAGAAAGGATAGGTTCAAAAATGAAGTTATTTGAAGGAACCTAGGAGTAGCTCCAATAGGTGAAAAAATGAGAGAATTGACTAAGATGGTTTAGTCACATGCTATGAAGACCATCTACAACACCCATAAGAAGAAGCAATCTTTTGCAAGTTGAAGGGGTAGAAGGGCTAGGGGCATGCCAAAAAGGACTGGAGCACCTTTACATAATGCATAATCCTAAAGCATCTCAATATACAATGCAAGGATTTTACATAGACTGACATATACCACACTAACTAAAAATGAATTATCTGGCCATGATTATTAAGTAATTTATTTTTCCAACAAGTCTCCAATGCCTCCCTAGATCATCAAATAATTCATCTTGAACATCACAAAGTCTTAGGATCCATTGGATATTGTTGATTTTACACCAAACAACCTTGTCTCTTCAAGTAAATCAAGAACATGCTTCCTCTGACACAACTTGATGCCATTTCTTGATTTATGCACTTCAATGCTCAATAAATGTCCCTTAGCTTACAATGAATATTCTGATCAAAATGTTGTATTTTATTTACTTTACTGGTTAATACATTTTACTTGTTAATTTTTTTTGTTATTTTTGTGGTCTTTGCTGATTTTTAGGGACATGCGCATACAGTTTGGAAACTTGTTGGCAGACATTGGACTTGTTGATCTCCCAAAAATTTCTCAGGTTTCCTATCTCAATGAAGATCATTTAGATATGTTTATAAGTTTTGCTATTGATTGAAGGTGGAAATACATATATATATATATATATATATATTTTTTTTTTTATGTGTTTTTGTTAGATTGTTTGTAACACTTGCAATTATGACACACTTTGCCATGTGTTTTGAGTAATAATATTGGGATATAAATTACTTATTGGAGGTCTTCTTATCATGACTGTTTTTTTTATAAGTAAGAATTACAATAGTGAACAGAAACCTAGAATTCAAAGAAATTAAAGTAAGAAGGAAGAATTAATAAGGAGGTGGTGACATGTTTGAACTTCGAAGGTGGGAGGAGGAAGATTGGATGGTGAGCGGGTGTTTGGAGGTGGTTACATTGTAACAGACTTTAGAGAGACAAGGAAAATGATAGAAAGACAAAAATCAAATGGAAAAAAGAAAACAGCTCTGGAGAACAGTGGGTAAAGTGCCATGGAACAGTAGGCCAATGGAACACACTTTTATTAACAAGGTTAAAGGGAATACTTGGTCCCTGGAAGGCAGTGTTGCAAGTGAAGTGAATGGAAAAGTGGAACTTAAATCCTGCCCTGGTGGGAATGGTGGTTGTGTCATGGTTGGTTATCTGGTAGTAGGCAATGGAGAAGTGGCAGCTGGAAATCAGTCAGTGTATGCCGCTTTGTCACGGGGGTAATCGTTGGGGCCCCGTGCGGCACTCGAAATGGGCGAGTAAGCCTACGAAACAAAGCAAACACACACACAAAGGCAACACGAAGGCACACGAATTAGCAAAAGGCTACTTGTATTGCATTAATCAGTGGTAAGCACAAGCACACAGTACAGTGTCGAGGGGATCTCGTGCT